GGTTTCTACCATTGAAGAGGCACTGCAGCTTTTTCTGTGCTTTGAATTTTAAAAAACCTCCCATTGGGACCAGCAGATGGTTAATGGTTATGTCTCTGGACTCGTGGTTCAAGTCCCAGCGGACCTGGTGGCTTCAAATTCACACCAGCACATGTGCATGTGTGCCCAAGATCCTGAGAGGAGGATGGAGGAGAAGGGATTGTGGCATGGCCATCCCCCCTGGGGGGTGATTTCTCGCTTTCTGTCTCTCTGTCTCTGGTGAGTGCACAGGCCCTAAGCAAAAATCTCTCTAAAAAACCCCCAAAACCTCAAGTTTATTTTTGGTCAGATGCTCATTGTGAAGTACTTAGCTGTGGAAAGGAGGGAAAAGCCATGTAAAGGGTAGCCACAGAGGTGATATTTCAAATCCATGAGAAAAACATAGATAATTCAACAGATGATGTTGGAGAAATAGCTATCTAAAGAAAACATAAAGTTAGATTCCCAATTCATACCACTCAATAAAAAACAAGTACTATAGGGCTAGCAGTTGGCATAGAGGTTCAGGTGCTGGAATCCTATCATGGCTCGAGTCTGGACCCAGTGGGTTGAAAGTCACGCCTAGCACATGTGTATGCATGCCCAGGGTCCTAAGAGAATTTAGGAGAAGGAATTGCAGCGTGGTCCTCACCCCAGGGGATGATTTCTCTCTCTGCCTTTCTGTCTCTGGGGAGCGCACGTACCCTCTAGCAAAAATCGCTCTCTTAAAAAAAAAAAAAAAGTACTATTTGATGGAGTTTAAAAAAAGTACTATTTGATGGAGTTTAAAAATAGTAAAATTATTAAAAAGATAATATAGGAAAATAACTTCAAGTCCTTAGACAAAAAAGATACTTTTTAAAATAGAGAGACAGGGACCCCTGTACCCCATAATCTTCCAAGAACACAGGTGTGCCTGTGGGCATGCCCAAGAATGTTCATGTCAACCTGGGAAATGAACCCTACACCTTCCCATATGGCTCCAGTATTGTGCAACAAGCACCGTACAGCCTGTGCCACTGTGGCAGGGGGGCTTTATAAGATGTGAAGAGCAAAAAATATACTTGAAAAGAGATATACATTTATAAAACATACTTAAAGTTAAAATTAGGGTATAGGGCTACTAAGTGATGTGATGGTTAAGGTACTGGATCCCACATGGCCTACTCTGTGGTTCAAATCCTGGACCTGGTAGCTTGAAAAACATGCCAGGCACATGTGCATGTGTGCTGGCAGTTTCAGGGAGGGAGCATGACATGGTCAAAATGGCTCTTTTTGGTGAGGGTATATATACATATATGAAAGTTCATGAAAAAATGGAGTTAAAAGATTAAAAATAAAAATATAAATTTTATTTCTCCACATACACTCCATTAAGTTCAAGATACTTTTGCAAGCAGATACCAGACATTCACTTTATCCCTAAATAACTTAGAGTCCTGGGAACTTAACCATGTCAATGCAGTATTTTTATATTAATTGAAGAAAAATGGAAGCTTGTTTTTGATTAGGAAACAAAAAGAAGTCTGAAAGAGTCCAGTTAGAGCTGTCAGGTGAAAGCCTAATGGGCCTATTGAAACTCACACAAAATTGACTTTGTTTGATGAAAAGAATAGGCAGGAGCATTGTTGTGGTGGAGAATGATTCTCTGAAGAGAAACGTCTTTCAGGATGGTTTTTCTTGGATTAACTTTCTCAAAACACTTTCAAAATAGGAAGTAATGATATTCTTCAGAATTCAAGGAATGGGGAACAGCAGTTAGCATAATGGCTATGTCACTAGACTCTCATGTAGTCGACCGTGGTTTGAGTCCTGGGCCCAGTGGCTTAAACTCACACCAGGTGCATGTGTGTGTGTGCCCAAGATCCCAAGAGGAGAATGGAGGAGAAGGGATTGTGGCATGGCCATCCCCCCTGGGGGGTGATTTCTCGTTTTGTATCTCTCTGACTCTGTCTTTCGGGTGAGCACATGAGCTCATGGCCAAAAACCTCTCAAAAAAAAAAAAATTAAATTTGGGAACCAGCAGTTAGCGTAATGGCTATGTTGCTGGACTCCCATGTAGTTGACCGCAGTTAGCATCCCAGACCCAGTGGCTTAAAACTCACGCCGGGCGCGTGTGCATGCGTGCCCAAGATCCCAAGAGGAGAATGGAGGAGAAGGGATTGTGGCATGGCCATCCCCCTGGGGGGTGATGTCTCGCTTTCTGTCTCTATGTCTCTCTCTGTCTGGCGAGCGCACGTGCCCTATAGTGAAAAACCTCTCAAAAAAAAAATTAAATTTTATTCATTCATTTTAAAAAATATTTTAAATTCCATTTTCTTTTATGCATTCAATCACGTTATCTAGCTTACAATATGTGAACATTTCTCCCTAGTCCAGTTGATAAAACTATAAAATTAAAATTGTCTTCAATGGATAATACCTGGTTACTGTGACTATTGATATTTGGTTGCTTATGTATTAGGGGTTTAATATCCTCTGATCTACTCTGCTTAAGCTCCAGCCAAAGATATCTGGTAACTTTGGAGTGTCTCTCAGGTTTCTAAACACAGTCAGCAATCATCTACTCTAGCTTTGGATTAGTTGTTCCAATTTTCTATGTTGTGACACATCTTTGTAACATGTCCACACCAGGTGTTTTCAGTTCTACTTTCATCATTGCTATTTTTTTAAAAAGTTGTGTCATTTTTTTTTTTTTAAGAGTTGAAGAGACTTCCTCCTTCTTTTTGTTGTTGTTGTTTTTAAAGTTTGTTTATTTCCTGGGAGACAGAGGAGAGAAGAGGGAGAACCACCCTCCACAGGGTCTTCACGCTGCAATTCTCCCCCAAGCCCTGCAGCCAGACAGGATCATGGGCATAACAGGCACGTTCAGGCAGACCCAGGACATGAACAGCCTTCCCATAGGGTTTCAGTATTGCACAGCAGTGCCCTACTGCCTGAACCCCCTTGGGTAGGTCAAAGCTGCATTTTTAATGAGAAATCAGATGGGATCATGTTTCTGGGGAAAGAAGATGATTACAGCAATGCTACTTACTGTCCAGGGTTCACATATCATACTGCAAACACATGCCCTTAGAGGGTGGCAAGAAAACAGTTTAAGCTAAGTTTGAGTTCTGTTTTCCCCAAAGACCCTAAGCCTGGTTTCAAAGACTGATGATTTGGATAATTTGAAGAGACATTTAGAGTTTAAAAAATGACGAAGAGGGACCAGCAGGTGGCGTGGTGGTTGAAGCGCTGGATACTCCCACATGGCAGATCTTGGTTCAAGTCCCGGGCCTAGTGTCTTGGTTTCTCACTTTCCCTTTCTCTCTCTCTCTGTGTGGCTCTCTCTGGTCAAATTAAAATGAATGAATCAATAAAACTAAATAAAATAATTTAAAAAAATGACAAAGAGCTTTTAAAAGTTTCAGAGTACAGTTTTCCACCCATCAGACTGGCATAGAACTAGAAAGTTTGGTAACAGTTGGGGCAAAGTTATGGAGAAGCAGGTAATCTCTACACTACTGGCAGGAGAGTTCACTGATACAACCTCATCCGAAGATAACTGGCAACACTTCCTTCCTGCTTCTTTCCCTTCCCTTCTTCCTTTTCTTTCTCTTTCCTTTCCTTTCTTTTCCCTTTCCTTTTCTTTCCCTTCCTTTCCTTTCCTTTTTGCTACAGGGTGCATGTTCTGGCCAGAGAGAGACAGAGTGAGAGAGGGAAAGTGAGAAAAAAATCACCTCCAGGGGACAAGCAGATGACGTAATGGCTACATTGCTGGAGTCCCATATAGTCGACCATGGTTCAAGTCCCGGTGGCTTAAACTCATACTGGGTGCGTGTGCATGCGTGCCCAAGAGCCCGAGAGAATGGAGGAGACGGGATTGCAGCATGGTCATCCCCCATGCGGGGTGGGGTGATTTCTGGCTTTCTGTCTGTCTTTCTAGTGAGCTCACATGCTCTATAGCAAAAATTCCTTTTTTCTTTTTCTTTTTTTCTTTTTTTTGGAGAGATTTTTGCTATAGGGCGCGTGCGCTCGCCAGACAGACAGAGAGAGACATAGAGACAGAAAGCGAGAAATCACCCCCCCAGGGGGGATGGTCACGCCGCAATCCCTTCTCCTCCATTCTCCTCTCGGGATCGTGGGCACGTACGCACAGGCGCCTGGCGTGAGTTTTAAGCCACCGGGTCCAGGACGCGAACCGCGGTCGACTACGTGGGAGTCCAGCGACACAGCCATTACGCTAACTGCTGGTTCCTTAGCAAAAATTTCTTGAAAGAAAAAAAAAAAAAAAAAAAGAAAGAAATCACCTCTACTGGGGACCGTGATATGGCAATCTCTTCTCCATTCTCTTCTGGTTTTGGGTACACATGCTCATGTGCCTGGCATGTTTCTCAAGCCACTGAGTCCAGGACTCAAACCACAGAGTTGGCCATGTGGGATCCAGCTTCTTTGGCCACCATGCACTGGTGGGCCCTACTTTAGTTTTTAATGTGTAAAGTAGCTGTGGAACCATACACTAGAAACTGGTAACACTGGTGGCCTCGGGAGAAGACATGGATAGGAGGGATTTTTCACTTACTTTCTAAGACTTACACATTTATTATCTATCTCTACCCACTACCTCAACTGAAATGAAAAATAAAGCTTTTTGCTGATAAAGAGTACACTAATAGTTTTGAACACATAGGACACATAGGAATCTTGAAACTAATCCTAATCAAAGAGTGTTAGCCATTATGGAAATCAATCTGAGAAAGTTTAAGAGTTGAAGGGCATTGGGACCAGCAGGTGGCGTGGACATTCCCACATGGTCAACCAAGGTTCGAATTCCAGAACTGGTGGCTTGCTTTCTCACTTTCTCTCTCTCTCTCTGGTCAAATTAAAATGAATGAATAAATAAAATTTAAAAATTAAAAAAAAAAGAAGAGTTGAAGGCCATATACAGAAAAAACAAGATGAAAGGATGGGAAAGGTTAAGAACAAGGCAGCACAAAGAAGTGTCGAAGGCCAAAACTTGCCAGATGGACATTTTATTGTGGCTTGCTTGTAGTAAAACATTCAACCTTTCAATGTGTACATTTGTTTGTTTGGATGTTGTTTTGTTTTGCAGGAGACCACAGTGCGATGCTCAAAGGCCTTCAGCCTCACTTTATGTCAGTATACTCAAAGGTTGCTTATTTTTATAGTTCAACTAGTTAGAAGGAAAAGTCAGGAAAATCTGGTCTTAACATCCCAAATTAAGGGCTGCAAGATTTCCAACCCATTCGTATAAAGTGCTTACATTCAGTGCAAAAAGGGCAGACTCAGATGGGCAAGCTGATGCTATTGAATGACGTGTCTTGGACTAGGTGTGTTCTCTGACGTAAGGAAGGGAAAGTTACTTGTCAAGCTTTACTCCAAAGGATCTAGTATTTTCCTTAAGGTCTTTCTCTTCTCTAATAGGACTAAAACGTTTAACTGATTGATTTCCATAATAGTCATTAACCTTACTATTAAGAATCTTGGTTCGGAGGCAAATCCACAGGGTTTCTTAGCACCAGAAGCTGACTGCAGCTTCCAGTTCCTGCTTGTCTCAGCATAAAAGTTGAACAGGCTGAGAGCTCAGACTGGTGGGAGGGCTCAGAAATGCAGAGCTTTCCTTTATGCCTTTTATGTGCAGATCTAAGTGACTGAGTATGGGGCCCCCATTCTCAAACACTGTCATATCCTGGGTGGGAAGACAAGCCAGTGCTGATTAAAACAGCACCTCCTCTACTTTTCTGCCAACTGTATGTGACCTATGTATCGGGTTGTCAGAAACGTCATGACACATTTTTGCATAGAAAAAATACATCATGGCTTTTCCAATAACCCAATATTATCCCGCTGTTTTGACTCTGTCCACAGGCCTTACTCTGAAGTCGAATCCTACCTCTCTCTGTTAAAGTGCACTGCCTTCTCCATGACCTCAGGTGTCTGCAGGTCTATCCCGCTGCCCTGAAGAGGCTGAAGGGACATAGGAGCGAAGAACAAGCTCTTCCTGACCAATCTGAGTGGCACACACAGGACCGTAACACAAATAGGGAGAGTCTAGCCATTCAGTTCTGGATGCTAGGACCATTTCTCTCCCCAGATTTTCAGAAAAGGAGCCACATTCTCTCACCCATCAGCCCTGCAGCTCTGTGCTTGTGAGCAACTCGCCTGCACTGTTTGGAGAGGTTCACCTTTCTCTCTCGTCTGGCCTGGTGAGATCAGGTCCCTCCAGCCTGCGTTGGCCTCCTAGACTGGATGGGTTATATATGCAGCCACAGCTTTCAGATGGCAGGACCTGAAAACCCTTCTACTCAGATGACCTTCCGAAGACTCACGTTAGCTCCATGGGCTTGTAAGAGATGTCCGGAAAACAGCTGTATCCTCCATGTAGCACTTGCCCAGAATCCATCTCTGCATTCTGGGAAGGAAGGAGGGGAAAGGAGGCAACCCTTCTTGTGGTGCTCTGTAATTCTCTGTAAACCCCTCTAGTTAACAGGAGCTACGAAAGTGCCTCCACTTGGAGGGGACTGTGTACAAACAGGATGACCCGGGGTAAGAACCAAAACGCAGGGGAGGTTTCTAGACTGGCAAAGTCTAAGGGAACGTGCCTCTTTTGAATGGAGGAGTTTCATTTGTTCGGAAATGCTTGGGCGTAAACATAAGTGCATAGGAGCATGCACACATGTGCACGTGCACACACACACACACTCACTCTGAGGTAGAAAGAACTGGCCATCTCCAGACAAACACACACTGATTCCACACTTTTACAGAACATGGCACTTGCGTGAAAGATCCTGTTCTTGCCAGAGAAGGCAAGTAGGGCCTGATCCAGCTCTTTCCGACCCGGACCGAGCCAGAGAAGTCCCACTCCACAGAAAGAAAGAGGTGGAGGGCATCGTCGTCACTCCTGTTGCTATGGTTCTCAGGCCACGTTTTCTTGGCCCTGCTGCCGAGGGTCACTTCCTGGAGCCTGAGCCATGGGCACCCCGGGGGTGGCTTGTCAGAAGCCACTGGGCACAGATGTCTTGAACTACTGCGTCTCCGCTGCTCTTGGCGGCCTGTTGCACCTGCTGGACGAGGGCTGCAGCCCTTGAGTGTTCTTGCTTCACGGCAATCAGGTAGGCAGAACGCAGCTTGCAACATGTCAGGTAGGCCTGAACCTGGCAGCCAGATAAGGGGTGATGGAAGGAAACCAGCACTGCTGAATCACTAGCAGTTACAGAGCTACATCAAGCAGCAGCGCTTTTCAGCTACCAAATGAACACTTGGGTTCTTGGCTTTTATAGCATCATGGCAGCTCTTTCAACAGTCTGGATGCTAAGCTATTAACTGTTATTTTACAGTACAAAAAATTATTACAAATAAACTTTTTTTTTTTTTTTTTGCTAGAGGGCATGTGCCCTTGCCAGAGAGACGGAGACAGAAAAGGAGGGAGAGGAGAAATCCTCCCTCCATGGGGAATGGTCATGTTGCAATCTTTTCTTCTTTTATCTTTCCCTCTTTTCCGGATTTTGGGCACACATGCACATGTGCCTAGCATGTTTCTCAGGCCACACCATCTGAGACTTGAGCCACATGGTTGACCTTATAGAATCAGACTGATTTAACCACCAGGCCACAGAGCTGGCCCAAGGTATGAATTTAAAAAGAAGGATGGGGCCAGCAGGTGGCATGGTGGTTAAGGCGCTGGAATTCCCACATGGCCGACCACGGTTCAAGTCCCAGACCTGGCGGCTTGCTTTCTCGCTTTCCTTCTCTCTGTCTTTCTCTGGCAAAGCTCATGTGAAATAATAATAATAAATAAATAAAATAATTCTTTAAAAAAAAAAGAAAAAAGAAGGAAGCAGATAGGAAGAGTCTGGCCTCTGTCTCTCCCTCTAAGGCTGCCTCCTTACTATCTGGGCTCTTCAGCTTCCTTGGCTTCAGAGCCAGCACTGTGTTGCCCACAGGCTGTGATTTTACAGTTATTTGGGTGATTATTTGATTGATATCTGTCTCCTTGGCTAGATTTTAAGGTCCACAAGAGCAGGAACAGTGTCCTTGTATTTCTAGTGCCTAGCATAGGGCCTGGCACCTAGTAGGTGTTTAATAAAAGTGCATTCCATGGTGCCCTGCACCTTAGCCACCATGCATGCACCCTATAGTAAAAAACCTCTCAAAAAAAAAAAAAAAAAGAACAACAAAAAAGAACAAAAACTGTAGGTACATTATGGGGCCAGCAGGTGGTGTGGTGGCTAAGGTGCAGGGCATTCCCACATGGCTGACCATGGTTCGAGTCCTGGACCTGGTGGCTTGCTTTCTCACTTTTCTTCTCTCTGTGTGCCTGTCTTTCTCTGGCCAAATTAAAATAAATAAATAAATAAAATTAAATAAATAATTCTTTAAAAAAAAGCGCATTCCATGAATGAATGAATGAATAAACCTTCACATCTCTTTACTACAATGGGCACAGGTCCCCCTTCTCTATTTTTTGGTTTTAAACCTGCTGAATTAAAAACATTCTAACAGGAAATTTGGGAAAGAAAATACACACAATTGAGAAAAAGTCTAATTAAGGTCTAATACTACAGTCAGTTCTGATAGCTCCTTCTGTTTGGATTGAAGGCAGCTCAGTTTTGGACTATGTCTATCCCATACTCCCTGTCTCATGGATCCTTCCCTTGGTGGAGATGAAAGCTCCTTGTTCCCTGTCCCTGGTCTTGCTAGCTTCTCCCAGGTGAATGGCAGGGCTCACAGCTGCCACAGCTTTGAGGCTGCCATAGCTACCTGTCTGCTCCAACAGTCCCTCCTGGTTAGTGGTAGGGACTCTCCTTGTTCCCATATCAATAGGCCATCTTATTTAATCTTAGTTGCCAACAGGTTTCTTTCCTACGCTCAATACAGAGAGTCTCCTGCAGCTAGAAGATGTCCGGCACATTCTGAGCTCACCAAGTTGACCAAGTCCTGCTGTTGGTCTCTACTTGTTGGCCTAATCTGTCAGCTCTCACCCAGGCCTCCCACTCCACTCAGCACCTCTGTGTGCTGCACACAGTCAGCAGGCAAAACCCCTACTAAGAGAAGTAGCGTGCTGTGCTAGAGCATGGAATAGGAACTGAAGGAAGCCAGTTTATGGCAGGACCCATGGCCTGAGATCGCTTAAGTATGTAGAACAGCTTCTGAGAGGACAAAAAAACGTGGAAAAGTAATAGTGATGTTCTAGGTTCTGGTGTGTGTCTTTCCCAGGGACAAAGCCTCTTTTTGAGTGTGAGGCTCAGTGAAGGCTTGAACAAAATAATCTAGTATGGGAATCAGGGGACTTGGGTGTTTGTTCCAGCTTTTGAGTTCTTATTCTTATTCTAGAAAAGCAATTCTCCACATTTCACAATGTCAGAATTTCATCCTTTCCAAGAGCTCATTAGGATGTTGCAGAAATAAATAAAAAAATGTTTAGAATGTGTTCTTATCCATCAATTGACAAATGCCCTACAAATTCAGCCCAGAGATTAGCAACACTGCCATGGGTGCAGCTCCATGCTGCTCCTTACACAAGAAGCTGTTTGCCTGACATTAGTTTTCATCACGAGGGACTCAGCTGTCAGATAGCCAGAGAAGCTCAGTCTTGCTCTGATTTCACATCCTCTCCTGGGCTGGGGGCCTTCCTACAGATGGCAGGAGGATCAAGCCCATGGTTAGCCTCAAACAGGGGCAGCTGGGAATACTTTCAGCACTTCTACATGGGCAATATGAAGTAAAGGTTTACTAATTACTGAAATAGAAGACCTAATTGGTCCCAGAAGAGAGACCTGTTTTGGAGATTGACACATCAGTGGACATTGTTGGTCAAAAGGTCAAATGAGGCCTTTTCTTACAGTACACTTTTTCCTCCAGGACAAAGAAATACCTGCCCACTTAGGGAACTTCATTCAATCTGTTGACCTAAAGATGGAAATGAGGGATTTCCTTGGGATCTCTGAGAGAAAACTGATAAAAAAACAAAGTCAAGAGACCAGCAGTTGGTGTAGTGGCTATGTTGCTGGACTCCCATGTAGTTGAGGGTGGTTCAAGTCCCGGACCTGGTGACTTAAACTCACCCCGGGTGCATGAGCATGCATGCCCAAGATCCCAAGAGGAGAATGGAGGAGAAGGGAGTGTGGCCACCCCCCTTGGGGGGTGATTTCTCACTTTCTGTCTCTATGTCTCTCTCTGTCTTTCTGGCGAGTGCATGCGCCCTACAGCAAAAACCTCTCAAAAAAAATAGAAAAAGAATAAAAAAAGAAAGAAAGAAAAAAAGAAAAAGAAAAGAAAAGGAAAAAAACACCAAAACCAAAGTCAAGAGCAGCACAGGACAAGTTTGTCTCAGGGCTAAAGAACTGGCAAGGCAAACGGGTAAGCGTAGTCAACGTGCACCCGTTCCCTGTCTATCCCTCCCTTCTATTTCCCTATCCATGTCCCAGCTCCATCGCTAGAGAATAAAGAGGCTGAAATACAGGTCTTACGGACTTGTGGACAGGCAAGCCCAAGGTGCTGCTTGTTAGCATCACCAGGGGCAGGAGACAATGCTGCTCACCTTGTTGTCATCACTGTGTATCGCCTGGATCAGGCCCTCCAGCTCCTGTGCAGAACAGAAACACAGCAGTTATGAGAGACAGAAGAACCCCCGCATGGGAACCAGGACCCAACTAGCACTGGCTCAGTCATTCTGACTCCAGGGTGGGGATACCTACCTGACTCTTCTTTTTAAACTCATTTCTGTGATAAGAGAAACAAACTCTAAAGATAATATTAAGCTTGGGAATCTGGGGGAGGATGGAATAGCTTCCAGGAGACCTGTCCTTGGCCTTCACAAGTGGATGTGACTCTGTTTACCCCACAAAAAAGCCACAGGGGGATAATTCTGCAGGCAACATCTTGACCCCCCCTCTATAATTGCATAGAGAAATTCAGCTTTGTAAATCCACAGACACTTCCACGTACACACGACAGTAGAAAATATGCTTACACCTTCTGGGTATAGAGGTCATCACCACTAATTTTCTTTACAGGGTAAGAGTTGATTAGAGTGAGGCCATTGTTGCAGAGGTGTTAGAAATACAAAATGCTCTTGGAGAGTTTCAATGTGAAGACATTGCACTAGCCAGAGGAGCTGGGAGATGTGGGAGACAGTGTACCTGGGGTGGAATTCTCTTGAACGCTTCCAGGCAGTTGAGGAGGATGGTGTCCCCGTCACCTTTGGTTGCCATGCCTGACTCGCTGACACACTTGAGCAGTTGTCGGATCTCACTGTACTTCTCCTTCTCCACCAGCTGCCGGGCAGCTCTGCAGTAGGTGGCCGCTGCATCCAGCTGGAAGTCCTAGCACAGAGCATGGGATGAGGGGCTCAGGGGACCACCATGGCGGTGGGGGAGGAGGCAACATTCCAAAGCTCCTGCTGTGTTTGGCATAGATTGTAGTCATGATAGGAAACAAATACAAACAAATACAAACAAATGGACAGACCAAAAATGAGCAAAAAGTTCCTCTCTGGAGTTAGGCAGAAATTTAGGAAGCATCTGAAAAAACCGTAACTTTAATATCTACAATGGTGCCTCTCACTCGCTGCTGTGGCACTCTCTGAAAATATTCTAATCAAACTCCTGAGACCAATTCATTCTCTACTGGATTACTTTCTCTTGGGAAATCAGTGTTGGGGGTTGGTATTTGCTGCCCTGGACACGTGGTGCTCTGTGAAGAGGTTCCTTCAGAAATAGTGTTGAGAAATAGACCAATGCCTAGGACCAGCAGTTGGCAAAATGGCTATGTCGCTGGACTCCCATGTAGTCGACCGTGGTTCGACTACAAACTCACACTGGGCGCGTGTGCATGCATGCCCAAGATCCCGAGAGGAGAATGGAGGAGAAGAGATTGTGGCATGGCCATCCCCTCAGGGAGTGATTTCTCACTTTCTGTCTGTCTCTGTCCTTCTGGCGAGTACATGCACCCTATTGCAAAAACCTCTCCACAAGAAAAAAAAAAGAAAAAGAAATAGACCAATGTCCAAGAAGACTATATGCTGAAAACTTCCAGACAGGTATCTTCAATCTGGATTAGAATAATCCTTATACCACGGGGCCTGCCACAGGCATTTCTGTGTGTTGGGTGATTTTGCAAACAGGTGGGAAGAAAGAAACCTGACTGTTTACAAAAACATTTGTCCTTGGGATATGTACAATGCCTGCTGGCCAGAGCAATAATGCTCTCAGTTCGCTCCTGAGAGTTCTGTGGTAGTAGAGGGGTCTTTCAGGGTCCTGCTCCAGCCCCTGCTCCAGTGCCACAACAGCAGCTTGTCCTTTTATCACAAACAACAGGAAACATACTCCCAGAGCCAGCTCCTGTACAGAGGACCCAGGGGCAGCCCCGGTGACTCTAGGCTCCTGCAAAGACAAGCAGTGGCTCTGCAGGGAGATGGCTCAGGGCAACTGTCCTTAGACCTGGCTTCGGTATTTGATAGCTTTGATGAGTTTGTCATTGGTTACTTGGCTTTTGACACAGTGGCCTACAGTCTTGAATGTGAGTGACCCAGTTTTTTAACAGCCACCTCCCTGATTTCACCCCTGATGTACATATAAATCTGCTTTTCCTGGGATAAAAATTTTCCAAAGAATAATCTCTCACAGAACTGTGGTCAGGTGCTGACTGCCCTCAGCATAATCTCTTGTAAGCCAAGTCATACCTGCAGAACGCGAAATGCAATGCCAAATCCATCTTCTACATTTTTCCCTCCTAGCATGACCTGAAGAGGAGAAGGAAAGGTACTTAAAGAAGTAATAATTACTGGTGTAACCTCTCAGTCATGAATGAGGGCCTCCATTTATTCAATTCTTCTGCAAATTTTGTTGAGACCTTCCTAAATGACTAGGGGTACAAAAGCAGTCAGAAAGGAAGTGACCCTCAGCTCTCTGAGACTCATAGTCTCGCAAGGGGACAGCCATCAAGCAAACGACCAAAATACCTAGATAACTGCAGTCATGACAGATGTTCTGAAAGATGTGAACATCTGCCAGAGGTCTGAAACACTGCCCATACCTTGCAGGCAACATCCATTTTCATGTGGTTATTTCCAAACAGGGTTGGCAGAGGCAAAGTGGTGATTTGAGAGGTCCCAGCACTTTCGCACCGATGTAAGAACCTGGTCACCTCCATTTGCAGCTGAAGTGTATTCATGTGCCTAAGGTGACAGGATACACACAGTCCAGCCTCAGGAGGGGATTCAGGAGTGAGGAGATGAGGACTGAATGACTGAGAAGTTATGATAAGAAGAGAGTAAAAAAGGCAAAAGCAATGATGTTGAGGGGGAAAAAACCCCAAAATATCCCTGAGCAGTCATGACAAGTCAAAAACAGGTGTTCTAGTGCCCCACACAGACTCACAACAGTAAAGGTGCATGACAGATCTGAACAAGGTCCAGTCATTGAATGAGACAGTATTTCTTGAGTGCCCAGGTACCAGAAACAAGGGAGGTCAAGAGAGATATGAACCCTGCCCTTACAGAGATTATTCAGAGGGGAGATGAATAGTAAACACATAAAGTACGTAGCAATTAGACCTATGAATGCACAAGTGGCTGTGGCACAACACTTGCTTTAGATATGCTCTGAGCAGAAGCCTGAAAGCTGGGAGGTAGAAAGGACCTGGTGTGTGGAGGAACACTCAGGAGGCCATGGACTGATGTTTAGCAAGGAAGAAGAGAGTAGCAGAAAATGAAGACACAGATGGGGCCAGCTGGTTGGCATGGTGGTTGGGGGAGTTGGGAACGACATGTGTGGTTCAAGTCCCAGACACATGAGCTTGAAAGATGCAAGGTGTGTGTGTACATGCGTGATAGACACTCATCCAGGCACAATCCCTTTAAATGATCTTTTTTTCCCAAAGGTTCAGGGAATGGCCAAGAGCATCTTCATTACCAACAGACACACAGTTCCAGCCTCTTTGTTCTGCATTAATTATTCTCTGGGCCTCAGACTACCTTGACACATCAGCTGCACTCATCTTCTTTCGGAAGAAGGTGGTTTTCTTCCTCCCAGAGCTGCGGGATGTTTCTTGGAGGTAGATCTTCAGGTGGTCCTTGGCCTTAAGCAGCCATGAGAGCTTCTCTCCCAGCTCTGTATATGAGTTTGCTTTGTGACTGAAGAACCGAATACAAGTCATGGCAGCCCGGACTTGATCCTAGAAGAGGAAAATGAATGTTCAGGTCAAAGATCAGGAATGCTGGTATGTGTGGGTGTGGGTATGTGTGTGTGTGTCGTGTAGCTTGTTTGTGTCAGTTACTCAAGGCCTGAGGTATCCTAAAGTGAATTGAATGACTGAGCTCTTGGGTAGGACACTATTCTACCACTGAAGAGATAAAAAAAAGGATACTTCTGATTTTTAGTAAATTGGCTTCACTCTTTTTTTGGAAAGCTTTTTGCTATAGGGTGCATGCGCTTACCAGAAAGAGAGAGAGAGACAGAAAGCGAGAAATCACCCCCTAGGGGGGATGGCCATGCCACGATCCCTTCTCCTCCATTCTCCTCTCGGGATCTTGGGCACTCATGCATATGTGCCTGGCGTGAGTTTAAGCCACTGGGTCTGGGACTCAAACCACTGTCAACTACATGGGAGTCCAGCGACATAGCCATTACGCCAACTGCTGGTCCCAAATTGGCTTCACTCTTACTTTGGCATTGAATAATTCAATTTAGTATTGGCAACTCTCAGCCAAATTGGAAGGAATTTGTTCCTTCTCTCTTCAAGGATTTTCTCTAAAAACACTTACTTTTCCATCATTCCATATGATTTTTTTTTTTTTTTTGCTATAGGGCGCGTGTGCTCGCCAGACAGAGAGACAGAAAGCGAGAAATCACCCCCCAGGGGGAATGGCCATGCCACAATCCTTTCTCCTTCGTTCTCTTCTTGGGATCTTTGGCATGCACGCACACGCGCCCGGCGTGAGTTTTAAGTCACCGGGTCCGGGACATGAACTGTGGTTGACTACATGGGAGTCCAGCGACATAGCCATTATGCTAACTGCTGGTCCCCGCATTCCATATGAATTTTGCATTCATACTTCATGCTTATCTAGAAATTATTACACATTTCTTTTTTATCTTCACATTCCTTGAATTATTTTTCTTCCTTTTTTTGGAGAGGTTTTTGCTATAGGGTACATGCGCTTTCCAGAGAGAAATCAGCCCCTGGGGGGATGGCCAGGCTGCAATCCCTTCTTCTCCACTCTCCTCTTGGGAAGCTGGATCCCACATGGCTGGCAAGGATTCAAGCTCCATTGGCTTGAAAAATACACCACATGCATGAGCACATGTTCAGGATGGAGAACTGGAGGAAAAAGAATTGCATTGTGACCAGGCCCTGTTGGTGGGGGAAGCTGCTTTCCCTCTTTCACTCTCATGTTCTTTCTTGTACTTATGTGTGTATCCTCTAGCATTAAAAAAAAAAAAAGTCTGCCTCTAAATTTAGATTTAGAGGGATTAACCCAGTATCACTGGCTTATCAGGAAAGTCATGATGCATTTTTGCACAGAAAACCAGAAGAATATGTCATGACTTTCCTGGAGACCTAATACTTAACCATTATAGACAGCAATATGGACTTATCAACAGGGTCAATCAAACAGCAATGCCAGGGACGAAATGATGGTCTCGTTCCATCATCTTCCACACCCTCCCTGCAGGGTCAGCATCAGCAGCAGAGGTAGAAGGCTAGATGGGGCTGCTAGTACCTTCATAAACTGCTGCAGCTCATACAGAATGTGGTAGTAGTTCTTCTTCTGTAAGTGCTGACAGGCAGCAATCAAGTACTTTCCCCAGCTCTCCAAGGTCGGATCAATGGATTCCAGCAAGTTTTCCAAAACGTGTAGCTTCCCACTTTTATAGCTTGGCTGGAAAATACCTTCTATGAAGACTTCTGGAGGACTCTCCTGTAGCAGGGCAAAGACACGAGGTCACAAGTCTTGAGCCTGGTTCTGGCACTGTCTGGCACCCACCTGCGTGTCCTTCTAATCACATACCTCCAGCATCCTCCTATAGCAGTGCTTCTTAACCTTCTGTGCATCTCAGATACTGTGACACCCTGCTCTAGTGACTGCTTCACTTTTCTTTTTCCTTTTACAAAAAAGTTCCTTGGTAGTGTTATCTACACTGTCTCTAATTTCTCTTCTCTGGTTTTCCCTTATTCTCACTCTAATCTAGCTCTGCACACATAACTCTACTGAAACTGCCTCTTAGGTCACTAGTGACCTATGAACTGTTAAGCCTAAAAATTACTTCTTGGTCCTAATTTTCCATTTGACCTTTTAGCAGCTGTTCATGTACTATCTTGGTATTCTTCTTAACACTCTCTTGCTGATTTCACCCAATCTCATGGCATTAATTACTACTAGCTGATGGTGCCTAAATCCCTGTCTCTAATCTATTCATGCCCCCTAAACTCCAGAACTATGTATTCGACTTAGATTCAATTGCTTACTGAACAAAACCTCTTTGATATCTAAAAAACTTAATACGGCTAAAAGAACATTTCTGATTGTTTCTCAAAATGTGTTCTTTCTGCTATCTTTCCTTTTTCAGATGGCAACTCCATTCTTCAAATTATTTAAGCCAAAAACCTCCAGTCATCTTTTCCCTCATACTCCAACATCAAACTCATCAGCAAATCTCACTGGCTCTTCCATCAAAATACACACAGAATCTGACCACTTTTCACCACTTCGCTGTATCACACGGGCCCAAGCCATCACCAGCACTTGCCTGGATGATCGCAAGGGCCTTATCCTTGAGCCACCATCTTCCACTCCTGCCTCTTTTCTGTCTAGTACCAATAAATCAACCAAAGTGATTCTGTCAGCTCGTGTTATTCCTTTGCTCGCAATATTCCAGGAATTTCCTTTCTTATTCAGCATAAAGTCCAAGTCCTCACAATGTCTACAAGAGCTATGTGATTTGGACTGTCACCTTTCGGACCTTACCTGCCGCTACTTCACTCCCAGCTCTTTTTGTTCCTGCCATCCAGGCCTTTGTATTTATTCCTTCGTCGGAACTGTGCTCGCCTGCACACCTGAGTAACTCACCCACATCCTTCAGCTCTCTACTCAGATGTCAACTTCTCTGGATGCTTTATCTCAAATGTACAACCCTCTGTTTCACTTCCCTCAGTGTATGTTATTCTTATTACTGATCATCTACATTAAGTATTTTATTTACTTGGCTTATTGTTCCTTTTCCTACTATAAATACAATAACAGGTATAATGGTGGTACGTGAAGAAGTGACTGGCACTACTTGAGTACTCTGTGAATGCTTCAAAGAGAGAGTATAAAAGGACCCTCCAAGGAGAAACAGAAGTTTTCTGAGAAAACAAGGAGGGCTAGGGAATTCGAGGTAGAGAGAACAGTACATGAAGACTTACAGAGATAAGACAGTGCATGGTACAATTAGGAAAATCTAACTTGATCAGTTTGGAACATAGGGTACAGATACAATTTGTGGCTGAAATATACTAGAGAGATAAGGGGGGACTGATCCTGGCAGGTCTTATAGCATGCTAGGGAATTTGGACTTTGGGGGCCAGCAGATGGTGCGGTGGTTAAGGCACCGGACTCCCACCTGGCTGACTGGTTTGAGTCCTGGACCTCGTGGCTTGGAAATCACGGCAAGTGCTTGTTCATGCATGCTTAAAGTCCTGAGAGGAGAATGGAGGAGAAGGGATCACTGCTTGGCCATTCCTCCTAGGGAGTGATTTCTCACTTTCCCTATCTCTTTCTCCAGCAAGTGCATGTGCCCTATGACAAAAACCTATAAATAAATAAATAAATAAATAAATAAATAAATAAATAAATAAATAGCACTTTATTCTATGGCTGTGGGGATCTACTGAAGGCCTTCTAGGGAGGAGAATAACAGGAGCACATATATGTTTTAGAGTTCACTCTGGGGACAGTGTGGTCAAAACACTAAAGTGTTGATGAAAAAGCTAGGAACAGGGGCCAGCAGGTGGTGGTGTGGTTAAGGCGCTAGACTCCCAGATGGCCAACTGTAGTTCAAGTCCCAGACCTGACAACTTGCTTTCACACTTTCTTTCTCACTCTCTTGTCAAATTAAAAAAATAAATAATAATAAATAAAATCAAACAAATAATTCTTGCCTATGAACAGAACACTTCTCATACTCTAAACATTCAGGTATGATTTTCATGCCTTTTTTTTTTTTTAAAAGAATTATTTTATTTAACTTTATTTATTTATTTATTTTAATTTGACCAGCAAGCGAGCAAGAGAGAGAGAGAGAGAGAAAGTGAGAAAGCAAGCCACCAGATCTGGAACGCGAACTGTGGTCAACCATGTGGGAGTTCAGCACCCTCAACCACCCCGCCACCTGCTGGCCCTGATTTTCATGATTTTTTCCCCTCCCTATTGTTCCTATATGCTTGAGAAAAAGGGTAAAATATTTCAGTTCAAGGGGAACCGTGATTATAGGAGATGAAAAGAAGTCTTCTTTCCTGGCGCTGATGAATGTAAAGCAAGCGCACTGCTGTCGTCAGCTTACGCCAAGATAACTAAGTAAGCCGCTTAACTCTCTGGACTACAGTTGTTGGCAGGAACAGAACTGGGTGACTTCCATTCTCAGTTTGTGCTTGGGAGAAGCATCTTTAGCTTCATTCATTTGGAAATGGAGGAAAATGGGAAAAGTTAGCAATTGAACTTTAACAATGACCTCTGCATTATCCTTGAGCCTGGATTAGTAGTTATGACACAGTTAGTGGCTAAGCAGTGGTAAATACATTTCCCTTCCACTGACCTCTAGGGGCATGGTTATATGAATTGCTGATTTCTGTGAAGTGTTGATCTCACCTAGCACACTCCTACCAGATATACCTATTTGTGAACTTTCCTTGGCTGCTGTTTGGTTTAGGGTGGTAGAATGAAATTAAAGTTTACTTTGAGTTCCTTTAATTATCTATGAAATTGGTACACATCAGCCAGTTTCTTAAAAAGTTATCCTGGGGCTGGCCTCAATGCCTAGTGGTTAAGGGAGCCAGATTCCACATGGCTGACCATGCAGTTCATATCCCGGCCCTAGCAGCTTGAAAAACACATTGGGTATATATGCGTGTGTGCCTGAAGTCTGCTTATTCCATAATAATAAAATCATGAAAATCACACCTGAGTGCTTAGAGTATGGGAAGTGTTCTGCTCATAACCCTTTTTAAAAAAGAAAGGGAGAAGGAATTTAGGAGTGACCATTCTCCAATGGCAAGTGCTTTCTACCCCTCTCTCTCCATCTCTCTCTGGTGAGTACATGAGCCCTCTTGTAAATAAAAGCTAGAGAGGGAGGGAGGAAGGGGGGGAGAGAGAGGGGGAGGGAGAGAGAGAGAGAGAGAGAGAAATCATTATGGAATAAGCAGATAGAAAAGCAGTGCCAAGGGGCCAGATGCTGGTGCAGTGGTGAGCA